TTTATATAAACTATTTTTATAGCTAGTCTTATTGGACAGTTGAAGAAAGCATTTACATATAGAAATATTCAAGTTAAAGCGATGAGAGGAAGGAGTTAACTTTTTTTTAAATATTTTTTCATGTTATTTACTGTTCTTTTTATTCGAAATTTAATTCAAAATTAAGTTTATAGTTTTGTAAATGTTCGTTAAAATGATATTCTTATTWAAGTTGCGAAGTGGTAAAAAAGCGTAGAAATTTTTTTTGACAATTTTAAAAGAAGTCTTAGCATAAATTAAAATTTTTAGGAAATTTCAAAATATTCGCGTATTTCTTGCCTAGGAAAAATCGTTTTCTTCTCTATTAATGCAATAAATACTTTTTTCTTTCTTTTTTTTTTTTGTTTTTGATACTTTCCTTACCTTTTGTAATATTAATAAGTAACAAATAAAAAATAGTTGGAATTTGAATTTTCTTCCTTTTCGAAAATCCAAAAATTTACTCAAATTCATTCCTCGGGACTGGAATACTCGAATAAATATTAAGAAACATACATTTTATATTTTATATAAAGTCTTCAGACCTTAAATAGGATTACAMTTTCAATGTGGAGTTGACAGTGAATAAGAGTTGAAAGCATAGAACGAGGAAAATTAGGCTCTGCAAGAATTATATTTCAAAATTACTCCTATGAAGCGTTAAACTGTTAAAAMTTGTATGACGTCTAAAATGGGTTTTCGAGAGTATGGAAAAATATTTGCAAGCAGCTTTTCAGAGACAACAACAGATTGTCCGAGTTGTCAACTTTCGAGAAGAAGTTTATATAGTTACTTGAAAATCGAGATATTTTTGAATCCCCTGAAAAAGTAGTAAAAGCTGAAAGACTTATTTACTTTGCACCCAAAAAGAAAAACAAAACTCGAATATTTACAGTTATGCYGTGGAATTGACAGTGGATCTGTGTTGAAGTCATATTGTGGAAAAGGTATACTTATCGCCACCTAAAATGCAAAACAACGTATCATGAAAAAAATCGAAATTGAGTATTTTATTGTTTAAGATGCACTCATCATATTATATAAATGTAGCATAAAATTTTCAGCTTCCGCTGTCTGATACATAGCCATTTTATAACCATTATATAACCTATATGCAACCATTATAACCAAAACTAAAATTTTGTTCAATAAGACTGGTTTCTATTATTTATCGCCTGTACGCTTCGGAAAAGTGATGTTACGTAATTATGCGTTTTAGGTGGCGATATACTTGTATAACTATATGAATAATACTTATAGTCTACTCACAAGAAGCTTAAATTCTGAGACTACTCTGAATGACATCATCAATACTGCTGAGCGAGTAGTATTTAAATATTTATCAGCAGCTTTTAATTTCCTGACAGCAATTGACTGTGAAAAATTTCTTTTTTTTGAGCAGAAACTCTCTGAAAAAAAGTTTAAAATTAAGGAAAAATTTTCTTAAAAAAGATCCAAAATCTTACAAACCAAAACTCGTATGTATGCATACTGAAAAAAATATTTATTTTTATAACAACACAAATTTTCATAATACCGCCAGTGACTGTTTTTATAATAATGTACTGACCAATTTGTTGTTTTTTGCATTCACTACAGTTATTTGTAATTATTATGAAAAATTTCGCTTAAAATTGTATTTTAATACTCTATTCATAATATTATATATATTAAGTATGTATGTATATAACTATATATTTATATATATATCTCACTATTAGCAGGTAAAATTCACATTGATTTCTCATTGTTGTTCTTGTTGCTGTATTTGTAACTATAGTTATATTTATATATCCGATCAATATTATTGCTTTTCATGAACATTAGGAAAACAAAGCGCCATTATTAAGACTATATTACATATATTTGTATAAAAGTTCTGAGGCTTTCATGAAGAGTTACAATATGAGACTGCGGAAATTAATAAACTAATATAAAAATACAAAA